TATATAATGACTAGATATATGTACATATGTATATGTATAATTAGTACATACTTCGACTGTGGTATTTAGCATAAGGACGATTATGATTTATCATGATGAATGATAAAACGATGAAGAAAACAAAAACAACAACAATGCGCTTTCAATTAAAACTTCTATGCGCGATTCTCACGCAAATCTCTGAGTACTATATGGACGATAATTTCAATGATGTTGATACATATGTACCTCATTATGCTTACAACAAAAACGAAAAAGGAAAATTAAACAAAAAATAAACGTCTAATTTTCAAGTATAAATAACTTTGTACCTCGTCGACTATAAAGCAAACAAAATGACAAAATCGAAAACTAAATTCTAAGAGTACTTTATTTACCAATCTTCCTAGTTGACAATTACTAAAATTTGAAATATCTTTATTTATAAATTAAATTGAAAAAAAAAAAAAAAAAAACAATGAAATAAAAACTGATCCACTAATGTGTATTTTATGCCATTAGTTAGTTGTAATAATTGGACAAGTGTGAACATTATCTTCAAGCTAAATTAATGCTGAAACAATTTAGAAACCAACCTTCCTAATGCCTAATTTTAACCATATAGTTTTACTTTAACTAGCGAATGATTGAAACTCTCCACAAATAATAATAATTGAACATTTTCTAGTTTTTAAGTGGCAGACATAGAATAATACAATTATAATTATAGTACGGCAAAGTATTTTAAATCCAACAGATGGAACAATTATGAGTAACTAGTGTTTAGTAGTTTCAATAATTTACACCACCCTAAACAAAATAAAGCGAATGCAAAATATAAACGAACAAAGCTAACAAAATTAAAAAATAAACGAAAGCAATAAAAACCTGTAACATTTATGCTTGTAACAAGTTGTAACTATGTTTTAAGGAGCAATTATAGCAATAATGATATACATACATATAAATATATAATTTTCCGAGAAAGTTAATAAACATTAAACGCGTACAAAACGGAGAATATAATTAACACTATTTTTCAATTGCATATTTGAAAAGCGCGCCAACAGTACCAAAACTCACCCCCAAGTGTTGTTAAGTAACTACTAGATATTTAGTATTTTACCATATACAAATAATAAATTTCGACAAAAATACCAAATATATGTACCAATGTGGCCATGCGCTTTGAATAGTGTTGAAAATACAGCAAGTTGGCAGCACTGTTTCGTTTCGAGCTACATTGTAACTATTACTTTTCATTTGCCAACAATTGTTTGAAATTTTAAACTAAAGCAAAAGTAATCAAATATAAGCACTAAGAATGAGCACGCAATCAGCATTGGCCGACGGTACAGCCACGAAGTCGGCCAATTTCTTTGCGCTACAGGCGGCATTCGAGGTGAGTATCAACAAATTTTGGGAACTGCTGCACCGGCAAATGTAAATTCTTCATTCGTTGCTTGCAGAGCGCCCTGGAGCAGGCGATTGCCGAGAATGATGTGGAACAGTTGATCAAAGAGTATCACAGTTTTCGTGCTAACTCCGAGCACGACAAACGCTCGCCCATGGACCAGGCGTTTCGGGAGGTGCTCATGAAGCGCTTGAGCGACGATGTCGAACGGATTGGGGCGCTTGTGCGTCTCTCTGTGGACGCGGCGCGTGCAGAAATTGTATCGAACACAATCCCAGTTGTATTGCTTGGGGATACCTTCGATGTGGTTACGCTAAACAAGTGTGAGCTCATTTTCAAGTTTGTGGAAGATCTCGTCGAGGTCTGGAAGGAGGAGATCTTCTTTGCGTCGTGCAAGAACAATTTGCTTCGCATGTGCAATGATCTACTGAGGCGTTTGTCTCGCACACAGAATACCGTTTTCTGTGGACGCATTTTACTCTTTCTCTCCAAGTTCTTTCCCTTCTCGGAGCGCTCTGGCTTGAACATTGTGTCCGAGTTCAATCTGGATAACTTTACTGAGTACGGTCTGGATAGCAAGGACCACGACGACCTTGATAACAAGGAACTGGAGGATACGGCTGAGGATATACCGCTAAAGATTGACTACGATTTGTATTGTAAGTTCTGGTCGCTACAGGACTTCTTCCGCAATCCCAATCAATGCTACAGCAAAGCGCAATGGAAGATGTTTCAAATGGTAAATTACAAAATAATCACCGATTGCACAGGATAGCTTTAGCGTGTGCTTTATCTAAACAGCACGCCGAGACCATACTGCAGTCATTTTTGAGCTTTAAACTGGAAGATATACGCCAGAATACCGATTCCAATAGTGCAAATAGTGCCAATGGCTCCAGTGGCGACGCAGGCGCACAAATGATGGATGTAGATGTGGACGATGCTGCAGTCGATGCAGCTGCTTCGATGGCTGTGCGCAAGGAAACGAATTTCTTTGCCAAATTCTTGACCAACCCCAAATTGCTCGCGCTCCAGCTGTCCGACTCGAATTTCCGGCGTGCCGTATTGGTGCAATTCCTCATACTGTTCCAGTACTTGCAGGTCAGCGTCAAGTTCAAAATGTAAGTAGCCAATTTGCCCCACACGCCTGCAGACATTCAGAGCTTTCATTGATTCATAGTGACACCTACACCCTGACGAGTGCTCAGTCCGATTTCATCAAGGAGACGGAGCAGCGCGTGTACAAGCTGCTGGAGGAAACGCCTCCGAATGGCAGGCGTTTCGCGCGCACTGTGCAGCATATGCTGCAACGCGAGGAGATGTGGAACAATTGGAAAAACGATGGCTGCAAGGAGTTCAAGAAACCCGAGGAGCCAGAGCCCACCGAAGAAGAGTCGAAGCCTTCACCCCCAAAGCGTGCCAAGCGGCCACTGGGCGATTGCCTGCGCGAAGCGGCACGCAATGGCAAATTCTATTTGGGAAAGTAAGTGCCGTCCGTCCATACGTGCGTTTATATATATAGATATATATATCTAATCATTTCATTTATTAGTGACAATCTGACTCGGCTGTGGAACTATTCGCCCGACAATTTGCAGGCCTGCAAGAGTGAGCAGCGGAACTTTTTGCCTCAATTGGAGACGTATTTGGAGACGCCGTATGACAAGACCGATCCGGCTTTCGAGTGGCGTGCCTTGCGCCTGCTAGCCCGCCAAACACCACATTTTTTCACATTCGTGACGCAACCGTCGTGTAAGATAGCCGACTATCTGGATGTGGTGCGCAAACGTTTGGCGCGCGAAAAGGAGCTGGCTAAGCAGATAAACACCGCAGCAGCGAATGCCTCGGAGCACAACAATGGTTTGGCAGCCAGCAGTGCACCAGCTGAACAGGAGCATGACGCTTCGGTAGCATTGCAGGAAACGGAGCCAGAGCCCGACCTGGAGGTTGAGGACCCCGAGCCCGTGGTCGAGGAAGCGGACGAGCCACCGGCACATGAGAAGCCGCTGATGGTGACAGCCGCCCACATCGAGGAGATAACACCGTTGATAGGCGAGCCCTGGATGAAGGTGGGCAAGAAGATCGGCTTCAGCAATGACGAGCTGCTCTTCTTTCAAATGGAAAATCCTACGCCGGGCGTGGCCTGCATGAAGATGTTGACCAATTGGATTTCAGACGACGACGATGCCACGCTAGAGAACTGGGCCTACATGCTGGAAGGCCTGGAAATGCACAAGGCAGCGGATGCCGTAAAGGCGATCATCGAGCGCGAAAAGGCGGGCAGCACACAACCGCAGCCCCAAGCCGAGGCTCAGCCGGATGCGAACAGCAATGATGTGGAAATACTGTCGGACTAGCAAAGGGAAACAACACGATCAATAATTAATTTTATGCTGTTATATATTCATCGAATCCTTTATCACATGTAATAAACGGGCATAAGTCAATGTCCCAAATCTAGTTAACGATTCCTTACTGGCGGCTGCGGCGGGTTCTTGCGCGGCTTGTTGTGCTCCATTGTGGCACAGCGGGGAATATGGCGCTCGGCGGCCTGCTCATTGAAACGTCTGCCGCAATGCGGGCACTGGATGTAATCGGGATTCTCTGAAGGCGGCGGCGGTGGCAAATCACTGAGTTTGCCGCCACGTGCCAAATGGGCCTGCACCTTTTTGGCAGCCCGTATGGCCTCAATGAATTCCTCGTGCTTCTTGCGCCAGTTGCTCTTCTTAACGCCAGTCTTGAGGCCCTTCTGCTGGGCGGCACTGCTATATGTGGACTGTGAACGACTCAGGTTCGACTTCTGCTGCCCCTTGTTGTACTTCTCGTTGTCTGTGCCCTTCACCCGCTGCTTGGCGGCATCGAAGATCTTGCGCTTCGTGTTCATGGTTCGCTGGCACACATCCTCGTGCTTGGCTAGGCGATCGATGTTGAAGTGACGGCCGCAAAAGCGGCACGTTTTTGTACCTTCTGGAGGAGCAGCATCCTGCAAGCCAGACGGCACAATGTCAGTATATATGGTAATATATTCATGGATTAGCGACACTTACCATTTGAATTTTGGTAACTGGAGATTTAGGTTTAACCTAGTGCCGTTTGTAATAATACATGATTTAAATGATATAGACTTTGAATGCTCGAGCGTAGCCAAGTCGATGCTAACGTGACTTACCTGACGCCCCTTTGGCGCTGAAACGCGTCCCCTCTCCGACAGTGGAGCTCGTGCGTTGGGCGAGCGGGCAGCTTGCATTGTCGGTGTGGTTGCGGTCGCTGTTGCTGTTCTTGTTGTTGCTGTGGTTGCTGTGGATCTAAAGGTCTTGACCCTGGCGCTGCTTGGGGGCGAAGAATTTGCGCGCATTGGCATCTCCTTCTCCTTCTTGGGTGGCGTTTTGCGTGTTATCACTGGCCTCAAACGATTTGCATTTATCAGCGTGCCCGCAGCATTATATTTGTTGTTGTTGTTGTTGCTCTTGGTGTTGCTGCTACTGCTGTTGTTGTTGTTACTGTCACTGCTCAAATTTCGGCCAGAGACTGGCTTCTCTTTGAGGCTCATTGTGGAAAGGCCTTTGGTAATCTGGTGCTGCTGGTGCTGCTGGTGCTGCTGGTGCTGCAGCTGCTGCTGTGGCTGCTGTGGCTGCAGGCTGTGTGTGCGCGAGGTGTCCCCAATGGGCTTGAGCGGATTGCTGCGATCAATGCCGGCGCCACGGCGCCTCTCGTCAAACATCTGACGCACTTTGCCATTGCCTATCAGGCGGCTGGTGGCGGCCCTGGGCGAAGCAGCACCAGCCTGGTTTAGTTCCTGGCGACGCTGCTCCTGCTCCTCCTGTGTTTTCTGCTGGAAGCGCATCTGCAAGAAATGGCAATGGGCATTAGTACAAGGGAGTCCACCAGTGACCTGGCTAAGCGGCTGTTACAGGTGCCGAATTGCTGTTGCTGTTGCTGGCGTGATGGGGCGGCAGATGGCTAAGCGCCTCCACCAGCCGCCGGGCTGCCCATGATTCATTGAGCTTCAGCGGCATTATGTGATCATGCAGAGAGTCCGACATTAACTCGTAATAGTCAACGATTTCGTCCTCGTCCGGCTGCGACATGCTGCCCATGCATGCGGTTCGTGCGAGGCGCGCGTGTCGACTAAAACCTACGTGGAACTGGACATTAGCCAGTCAGTTAGTTCCCCGAGTGGTAATTAACTGAATGTATGCACTGCTGTATATACAGACATACGTGTGTATGTAGGTGTGTGTGGCTTCACTCGTTTGTCTATTGAAAGTTCCGATGAGCCAGCCAAACCCACCCAATCGTCCATTAAACTGAATCTGTGTGTGTCCACTTACATGCCGCCAGTACATAAAGCCGCGGGCCACCCGACCCGCCTGCACGAAGCTAACCCTGGCGGCCGTCTTGGTTGGCTTGGCAAAGTAGTTGGGGGTGGCGGGCATGTTGCCTTGCTCAATCCCTGGAGTTGCTGTGGCCAGCCATGGCCAGCCAGCGGACAGAAAGAGGCGCTCCGCCCAGCACAAATCGTTGAAATTGAACAAAATTGTTTTCCTAAGATTGAGCACTTGACAAACTAGCGAGCCAGTTGGCAGTTGTTGTTATTCGATTGTTGTTGCTGTTGCTGTTGCTGTTGCTGTTGCTGCATGCCAATAACAAAAATCAATGACTGCAATGCGACCCCAAGGGTTGCCATGGAGCTGGAGCGGAGGGCGGCCCCTTGGGCTAACAATAAAACCTGTCGGAAACGGGCACGACAGAGAGTGTGTGTGAGAGAGAGAGAGAGAGCAGAAAAGGACTATCCAGCAAAGCCATGCAACATTTGTTGCACACTCGAATAACAGGCGAGCAGGCGGCAGGCAAAGCCGCCCGTAAAGGTGACAAAGCTCACGGGGTGTATGCCATTCCCCAGGGGTTTTTCCCGACGACACCTGAAGCCGTCCCAAATCAGCGATATAAATCTCGAGCAACAATTTTCGAGCTTGTTTTGTGCCGTTGACGTGAATGTGTCTGTGTGCGTGCGTGTGTGTGAAAGGTAGCTGTGTGCCAGTGTGTGTGGGAGGTAGCCTTTGCGTTTGTGTGTGTGTGTGTGTGTGTGTGTGTCAACTACTTACTTGACAATGTTACATGTTTATATAGGGTATTTAAATACGGTATTCTATGTTCATGCATATATACATACAGTCAATATGTGAACGAATTAATGGATATGGATGTATGTGGGTACACCTTGTACTTAAATAATTTCCAAGTATTTAATTAAACGCCCAGTATACAAAATAATATATGAAATATAATGTGTTTCAAACAAGATAAGCGAAATGTCAACTGTGCAAGTCTTTTGTCCAGCAATCATCAATGAGAATCTCTAGCTGGCTGTCATAAATATGATTGTTTATTAATCGAATTTGGATAGAGTGATGTCAGACTATCACTGAGAGAGCATCAAATGAAGGGAGAGAGAGAGAGCGAAAGTCTTAGCTATTAACAATTCCTACAACACCTCTATTGTTATTAATTCTTATTTAAACTGTTCGTCTTGCCAAATTTGGGAGCTGAACTTAATGGGCTGGGAAACAACCAAAACAAGAGCCAGCATTGGGGTCCAGTGCCACATAATGAATTTCAAGTCTAGACAAGAAGATCTAGCATCAGCTGGTGGCCATGTATGGAGCGCTACGGAAATTGACAGTCACACTGACTGTCGGCCAATCGCCGAAAATTGGGGGCGGAGTATAATTAATGGCCAGTGGATGGAGCACAGTGCGCTCGGCACGCTTCCTGTCAAACTCGGCGAACTTACCCGCATTTGTGCCAGCCTTGAGGTTGGGTAATTAGAGGCATCTTGTGACGCCATCACCAAATAAAGCCTGCTCTCCCTCTTTCTCTCTTTGTCTCTGTCTCTCTCAAAGCTGAGTCTCAGCGGAGGCTGGTGTGGGCAGCAGCAGTCGGCGAGGGAATCGGCGCTGACGATGACGCGGCACAGCTGCTTGGTTTGGAGTGTAGACCCGGCTTAAGCTCAGCGGTGAGTCACGCACAAGCGTCTATGAGAGTCTTGGAGTCTTGCGTTGCGCTGTGCCTAAAAATAGCTGTAAAACAAAGCCAAAAAAAAGCGAGAGAATTTTGAGTAAGTTGAGCGGCATTTGAGCTCTGTTAGCTCTGAGCTGTAGCTGTGCGTGTGCGCCAGGAGGCGTCAAGGCAATTGTTGTCGCGTGGGCAGCCCATCTGGAAGTCGAAGATCAAGTCGAGATCGAAGCTGGAAGCCGTACCCAGTTGCTGGCAGCCTTCGCTCGTATCGTGGGCCGTGGGCCGTCTGCGACATTCAGTTGCTCCAAAAATGGGCTGCTCAATGAGCAAACTAATTGAATTGAGTTTGATTCGCTTACCGAATTGAATGAACTACGGTTAATACTCCTCGCAGGCCTCACATACATGCATACATGCATACATACAACCATATGTATGTGCGTGTGTGTATAGGTATATTTATATCTATATATATGTATTATGTATATGCTCCGTAAAAGCGCGTGAACGAGTGCCAAAAGAACCTTGCTCCTGTTTCAAAGCGTTGCTGGGTACAATTTAAGAGTCGAATTTCCTAATAAACTGCTATTGAGGTGATGTATAAAGCTCCCGAAATATAATCATGTCAAGTTTCTGCTTGCTTCCGAATTTAATATTTTATTTTTATTTTTTTTTAAACACTTCTGTAACGACCCGGATACTTTTACAGTTTAGTCGGAGCCCACTAAGAAGCGACTTTGAAAGGCGAAACTTTCAATGAAATGAAATGGCACACTTTAATGATCATATTTAAATAATAATGCGATAAGCTGCATATAAATAAATTTTCAGATTTACATAAATCTGACTTGAAAGCTGTTAGTCCAGATCTCTGACATTGCCTAAACTCTAAGATTACACACAGATATCGTATGCAATGAGATAATCTTCGATGAAAAACAAACTGAATTGATTTATCCCACACGCTTGGCTTAGGGCATTCAGTAGTCGGCATTGCCGCCCACGGCGAGTACACAAAGCAATTAATTTATGTTTATTTTTTGGCACACGTTCGAAACTAACAGTTTGTGTGAGTGTGTGTATGTGTGTGTGTGTGTGTGTGTTTTGAGGTGTTTTATGTGTGTTGGCATTCGGCTGCGCCAAGTGCTTTGATTTGCATAACTTTGAAGCTGAAGCAACTTACCTATGCGCTGACTCTTGTTGAGGAATGTTTGCTACAGGGAAAGACAGGCAAATGTATACACTCACACACGCACACTGACACACACACTAACAGGGCTTCAGCCTGCTGGTCAATTCACGTCAAATTCCACTCGAGTTTATTGACACAGTTCAACGTTGGTTAGACTTTATAATGCATGCCTTTTGAAAGTGGGACACAGGATAGCGTCAGCTGGTCAAGCTGACAGCGGGCCTCTGCAATTACGCATACGTCGCGTGCGCCCGAGCCAATATGCTAAACTGGCTAACTGGCTAAATCTGTGCCACTCGTCGGCCGGCTTGGACTGTTTGCTTAGAAGCTTGTACGCTAACTGAGACAAAGATTGCGGCCGCACACAAAGCCAGCCAGCCAGTCAGCCAGCCAAAGCCAAAGCCAAAGCCAAACGGTTAGCGTCAGTCGAACAAGTTGTGAGCAGCTGCAGGCAGAGACTGAGGCAGCGACTGAGGCAGAGCCAACCGAGTCGCCGAGAGTGCACTGATCGCTGTTGATGACGCGACACTCTCAACGTATGTGGATGGCGTGTCCAGTGGGCGTGGCACGCTGTACATCTGTTGCAAATAAAATAAAATACTTAAATGAAACGAAGCTTTTGTTAATCCACAAATATATATACATATATTTATCGCTCGATTGTTACTGCTGTTCATTTTCTGTTCTTTGGTATATGAAATCAACGTTTACTTATGTTTCTTTATGTTTTTGTTTTCAGTTTCAACTTTAATTCTCTATCAACTTGTTGCTCACATCGCAAAGCTCGTCTGGGTGCTTGAGTACATATTAGGAAGTGTTTCTCTAAACCAACCTAAATCATAATAATCAATCATATGTTACTGGTGTGAGCTGACCCCAGACACAGAGCTGTCTGATATTCTAAGTGACCTGGCACCATCGTTAACAAATTCATATAAATTGCGTCTATTAGCATGGGAGTGCACTCAGTCAGGGTATTTGAACTTCAATAAGTAATGCTTGCCATCCACACTCATATTGCTCGCATTGCGTTTCTTTGCTCATCATTTGTTTATATAACAATTATTATTCATTACTTTTCTGTTGTTTAGCTTTTACTGCGGTTTTGAAACCTAATAAGTTCGCGTTTTGCCTTGCGTCTTGTTTACTTATTTCATTTTTTTATTTTTTATTATTTGTTTTTTGAGCGAATTTTCATAATTTTGTTTCTCTTTAACAATTTTATACATATGCATGCATACATATATATCCCATGAACTAATACAACGTATGTGTGAGCTCTCTTCGTGGTCTTAGCGAATCACTTAATAACTCTTCAAAATATATATATATATATAACTTCATTTTCTTTGACTCAAATGCGAGTTCGTGAGTTTTCGTGCGTTTTGCCAACATTTTGAAACTGACTTTTCTGCTTTTCTTTTTTATATGAATTGGTTTTTTTTTTTTTTTAAATACATTTAAATTTGCGTTTGTTTTTTGTATATATACTGGATTAAAAATATAGACACCGTGTACATTCATATAATGTATTAGATTACAGATATCGTTTTACCATTGTCTTGCTCTGTCATAGTCGTAATCGTAAACATGGCAATACCAACAGCAAAAGACTTTTCAAGTGTAGGGAATCGTGTCTCCAATATGAAAAGCTAATGTATATACATACATACATGCTATATACMTACATATATACGTTTGTATTTCCATTTGAACTGTAGGTAGTGTGTTGTATGTGTGTGTGAATTATTAACAATTTACGATCTCATTTAGTTTACTATAGGCTCTCTGAGGTTCTCTATAGGATTTCCTGCGTGTGGTATTGTTTTGTATACTGTGTATATAAGCTGCTTACATTGACTAGTGCTGTGTGTATACATTTGTATTTTGCTAAAATCGAATACAAACTTTAC